CCCCCCAGGGCCCCAGGGGCTCAGCAGTGGGGGACTGTCCTGTCCACAGAATGGTTGGGGCAACCGCTGCGGGGCCCCCAGAGTGTGGGACCCACCCTGAACCGTCCTGTGGACAGGACAATGCTGCACACCCTTCCCCCGGGCTACCAGGATGTGCGGGCAGCAGCATGGAGCTAACAGCTGGAAGCCGCTCTAGCCCCACTGCATTGCCGGTGGCGGTGGCAGGGGCCCAGGAAGGGGCGGTAAATTGTCTGGGGCTGGCAAGTGGAGCTAGGGGACGTGTGGGGGAAGGGCACACAGATCTCTCCCCCCCCCTCAAACCCTGCCAGAGGGGGCTGCCCTCTGGCCTGCCAGGAGGATTTGAGGCCTGGCATTGGCCCCAAGGTAAATGGAGTTTGAAACTCCTGCTCTATGGCTCAACACAGGGCGGATGTCTGAGAGCTTAACTGACAATGCCACAGCATGGGGTAGAAAGTAGGGATGTTACAGTGTAACACTGGCTCCTGGCCCCATTCCCAGGGAGCAGGGCTGGGAGCCAACTTAAAACATGGCTTCCAGGGAGCTGGCAGCTACCTTGCACTTTTGCCTCTGTATCAGAGGCAGCATCGTAGGGTGGCAGCTGGCTCCCTGGGAGTGGGGCGCAGCAAGAGGGAGCCAGCGCATGCTGGGAGCCAGCTTAAAAGCCAGCTTCCTGCATGCCCTGGCTCCCGGGGAGCCAGCTGCTGCCCCGTGCTACAGGCTCTGCAGTGTAAAGCTTATACTGCAGCGTCCGCAGTGCAGCCGGCTCCCTGGGAGCGGGGCCGGCCGCTGGGAGCCAGCTCCTGGCATGCCCTGGCTGCTGGCCCCACTGCCGGGGAGTCGACTGCACTGCGGGCTCTCTAGTAACAGCTTCATACCGCAGAGCCCTCAGTGTGTAATCATGAAACCAGGAAGATTTTTAACAGTTACCTAATTAACCACTTGTTAACATCCCTAGCGGAGAGGCCCTGGGGCATTCTTAACACTGAATGTTCACCACAAGAAGGAGCTGGCCTCCTCACAGCTCAGGAGCAGCCTTTCCCCCAGTCTGGACGTGGTCGGATCTATGGTTTGTGGTGGGCCTCTCCGGGAGGGACAAGCGGCTGGACAGGGGTTTTCCCGAACATGATGGGCATTGGCGCGACAGGACGACTTTGCATCCACTGCCAGATCTAGCTCCCTGTTCCTTTGCAAGCTCTGTGTGACTCTCTCCCTGGCTCAGGTCAGCAATGCACCTGCCTAACGATGCTTGCCCTCACATAATGATGCCATTTATACCGGTGCAATTCCAATATAATTACACCGCGGGCAGGAGCTTAAAGCAGAAGCCAGCCCTCAGATTTCATTTTTTTGTTCATTACCCTGCAGGCGCCAAAATGGCCAACCCTCATTATCGCTGCCTTTCGAATGGGCTGAATACAATTTGCAATTGCACACCGGTTATACCTTCTTTCTGCTCTTTAAGCGCTAGCAAGTTCTCGGGAGCTCGTGCAGCATACCCGCGTCTGGAAGGCAGTAGCTGCCTCAGTGTGCAAAGAGTGGGTGGATATAGATGACCAACATTTTCAGCAGCAGGGAGCTACTTGCCAAATGAGCTGTCTTTATACACCTGCTCTGGGCAAGCACCGTGGAATCCACAACTCAGAGCAGCTGGAAATCCAGCTCCAGCTGCTACCCTGCCTTGCTTACCTCAATGCAGGTCTCCTCACCAAAGGAATATGGCCTAGCCTGGAGGGTGTTCAAATCCAGGGATTCTCAAGCTTCATTCCATCATGATCCCATAACATAAGAACTAGGCGTCATCAAATGAAATGAATAGGTAGTAGGTTTCAGACAAACAAAAGGAAGTTTTTCTTCACACAGCACACAGTCAACCTGTGGAACTCCTTGCCAGTGGATGTTGTGAGGACCAGGACTTTGACAGGGTTTAGAAAAGAACTAGATCGATTCATGGAAGTTAGGTCCGTCAATGGCTATTAGTCAGGATGGGTAGTAAGGTGTCCCTGGCCTCTGTTTGTCAGAGACCGGAAATGGGTGACAAGGGAGGGATCACTTGATGATTCCCTGTTCTGTTAACTCCCTCTTGGCCATCTGGCATTGGCACTGTCGGCAGACAGGCTACTGGGCTAGATACATAGCCCTTGGGGATGACCAAAACCTGAGCCCACCCAAGCCCCCTGCCCTAGGTGTGCTGACGTGACCCTTGGGGATGACCAAAACCTGAGTCCACCCAAGCCCCCTGCCCTAGGTGTGCTGAGGGTGGAGCAGGAAATCTTGAGATCTCATTTGAGCCCTGATGCTGACTCACTGTGGGATCTCCACCTCACTGCCTCAGTGTCCCCAGTAGCTCGACACTTGCCTTACAGGGGGCTTGTTAGGGCTAAAAAAACAAGGGCTTCAGCCCCAGGTAAGGGGCCTGAAATCTGAACCCTGCCACCCAGGGCGGAAGCTTTGATGGCAGCCCTGGGGCCCATCAATTTTAAGCCAGGCCTGGCAACCCCATAAAAAGGGGGTCCCACCCCACAGTTAGAGAACGGCAGTTCTAATCCTACCCGCTGGCCACGAGGCAGCGCCTTCTCGTCACCACGGAGAGTAAAATGCTCTGAATGCATCCCGCAGGCAGATGCTCGGGTGCTGTGCAACAGCGTAGCTCCGCGGACACGGGAGACAGACTGACGGACGCTGGCTAGGATCTGGTGCCAGGGTCTGGAAGCCATTGCTACAGTGTGCTGGGCCTGACCTGGGAAAATAGGAGGGAGAAACATCTCAGCTCCACCTCATGGACTTTGGGTTATTGAGCCAGACCCTTCTCCAACCTCCACCCTGTTATTTGTGCTACCGTAGTTGCTCAGTCCTGGATCACACCCAGGCTCTCCGCACGCAAGCACCCCAGGCGCTGACCTGCTAACATCGAACTCTCTCCGCAGGGTGAATGGGAGAAGCAGCCTCTGCCCAGGATCACCAGGGTGCTCCCGAAATCAGCCCCCCGCTGCCAGCCCGCCCGAGAGACGCCTCCCGCTGCCCCTGCTCGCGTCAACTGGGGCAGGGCAAAGGCAGAATGAAGGCTCCGTGTCTGCCTGCCCCGCCGCGGCAACGCGCCACGCGTCGTCACCGGGACGGGATGCGCCTCAGCCCGGGGGTGGTTTGGGATTTGGCTCGGCTTTTGTAATGCTGCCACGGACGCGGTGGGCACACGCCAGACCGGCTCCCCTGCCTGTTGCATGCTCCAGCCCTTGCTCAAGGCAGCTGGGGCTCCGTGGGTGAGCTGCGTTCCCACCCTGGGGGGGCAAGGCCTGGGTGGGACACGAAGAACACCTCTCCGCACCCATGCAGGCCCTGCTCCCGCAGGCTGGGCCCCAATCTCTGGGACCACACCGGTGTAGAAACCAACCCCACACGAGGCTCTCCTACTGAGCCAGAACGGCCGAGGGATTTGCAGGTCACAGCGCTGGCTGCTGTTCCATCTAGACCCGGGGCTGCCCTGTATTTTATACCCTGAAGGGTGAGGCGCCCAGTTAGATAGGTGCTATCTAGAGGGCAGAGGGTGGGCCTGGGAAATGTGGAGACCTAATTCCAGCTCTAGTGCTGCCTCGCAGTGGACCCTCCACCGCTCTGCCTTAGTGTCCCCAAACACGAATAATCAGTCGCTCGACACTTGCCTGACAGGGGCTCGTCAGGGCTCATTCGTTAAAGTTCCGGACGTACGCTGAAGATGGCAAGCGCTATTATTAGCGGGTGATTAGCAGTGCCAGCGCTGAGTAAGACAGGCTGCCGCCCCCGAAATAACAACACTCCGGATTTCCATTGTGCTTTATAGCCAAGCACTCATCTCCCTTCTTCCCCCTGCCCCGCACACTCCGTCTCTGCGCTGCCCCTGGCCAGTGCTATCTTATCGGGAGGGAAATTGAGGCCCAGCGAGGGAGCTGCACTGGCCAGGGGCAGGCAGAGCAGCAGCAGCAGATGTTCCTGGCCTCCAGCCATGCGCTGCCTCTTCCCCTCAGACCGGTTAACGACAAGCCCGCTCCTCCCCAGAAGCCGATGGCGTGGGTGCTACAGGCTGAGCGACGCTGACTTGTCACTGACAGCTTCTCCTGACATTTGCCGCACAGACCTGGGAATGCCTCCCTCGCCCCCTCGCGCAGGACCAGGAAGAAGCGATGGATCTGAGGGAGGATTTACATGAGGGGGGCTTCTCTCTGGCCGGGGAGGGAGGGCAAATCCCTTAGCCAGAGAAACGAGTCCGTTAAGGAAATATACATTGGCACACACAGCGAAGCCAACCTCCTGGACCCAAGAGGATGGGCCACAGGTTTAGCTGGGGTCAGTCAGCACCAATAGACTGTCCACCAGCCCGTAGGCATGCAAATCACCAGAGGCCCCAAACAACAGAGCCTGCCCACACCCTCACATTGTCTTTTTTGCTGTAGGAGCCTGAAGGAGAAATCCTCAGAGAAACAGGAAGAGGCCTGGGCTAGTGAAGAGGAGACTCATCCCTCCCTGGTCACGTCAGCACAGCCCACATGTTTCCACCTCAAAAATAGCTGGGCCTAGCGACATCGCTGCGGGCTGTGGAAGTTCCACGCCCGGCACGACATCGCTTGGTCCCCTGGGTCCCCACTTCCGCCAACCGCACTACCTCCGCTTGGCGGGACGGATTAACTGCCTCATGGGGAAACCACTTCTGTCCGGAAGCATCCGCACCATGCGTGGGCTAATACTGGCCTGCAGGGCGGATCCGGTCCACCAGGGTTAGTCCGCCACGGCTACATTTACCTTCGCTTCCGCGCGTAGTGGCGATCACAGCTCCTCTTGGTTGTGGAGCGCCGTTCCGGGCCAATGGGAGCTGCTGGACGCGGTGACCGATCTTCATGACTTCCTGCTGCTCCCATTGGCTGGGAACAGCAATCCGTGGCCAATGAGAGCAGAGATGGCCGGTCCCTATGGAGGTGTAGGTAAATATAGCGGTGGGGCCCGCCCACCCCCGCCAGGGATTAACCCCGGTGAACCACTGCCTTTTTATCATCCACCCCGGTGGTGCAACAGATGCCCAGCTACAGTCTTGCCATTATAGCCATTCTCGGAAGGACATGGCCTGAGGGAACAAACAGAAATCCCTGAGCACACCAGGCCAAACTTGGATCCAACGCGGGTGCAACAATGGTCATGTACGTATCTGGGCCACATGCAGCGGTGAGGGAAATTGAATGGACCTGTCCCTTGTTTACTCTTGGATCTCTTTATGAGAGCAGAAAAGGACCTTAACATATTGCTCCCTTGGCCAGAGGCTTCCTGGTGGCTTAGAGCTGGAAGAAGGTCTCTCCCTGCAGTCCCCTGCCCCCACCCCGCCGCACAAACTGCTCCCAAGCAGCAGCCTGTACATTAGCACAATCCTGAAGCTGCTCTGACTTAGGCCCCAGAATACAGGGAGCACGCCGATGACTTTAAGGCCCTTTCAACCTACCTCCATACCTGCCCCGAGTGCAGAGAAGCAGGCCTGAAGCAAGTGTTTTAGCTGATCCGAGTTACAAACGAGATCAGTGCCTTCCAATGCGTTGGAGGAAAAGCCTCTGCATCACAGCCCCTCCCAAACACTGCTTCCTCCGTACACGCCCTTCTCCATGTAACTCCCCACACAGCAGGGGACCTGGACAAGTCTCTGTGCTGTTTTACCAATGGGGAGGAAAGAGAGGGAAGGTCTGGCCTACAGTCCAGGCCCAAAGAACCCATCCCTGAGCAGGCCCTAAACTCAGAGGCTACGTCTAGACTGGCATGATTTTCCGCAAATACTTTTAACGGAAAAGTTTAGCACAATCCTGAAGCTGCTCTGACTTAGGCCCCAGAATACAGGGAGCACGCCGATGACTTTAAGGCCCTTTCAACCTACCTCCATACCTGCCCCGAGTGCAGAGAAGCAGGCCTGAAGCAAGTGTTTTAGCTGATCCGAGTTACAAACGAGATCAGTGCCTTCCAATGCGTTGGAGGAAAAGCCTCTGCATCACAGCCCCTCCCAAACACTGCTTCCTCCGTACACGCCCTTCTCCATGTAACTCCCCACACAGCAGGGGACCTGGACAAGTCTCTGTGCTGTTTTACCAATGGGGAGGAAAGAGAGGGAAGGTCTGGCCTACAGTCCAGGCCCAAAGAACCCATCCCTGAGCAGGCCCTAAACTCAGAGGCTACGTCTAGACTGGCATGATTTTCCGCAAATACTTTTAACGGAAAAGTTTTCCGTTAAAAGCATTTGAGGAAAAAAGCGTCTAGATTGGCACGGACGCTTTTCTGCAAAAGCACTTTTCGCCATCGGGGCTTTTTTGCGCAAAACAATACCGCGTTGTCTACACTGGCCCTCTTGTGCAAAAGCATTTGTGCAAGAGGGCTTTTGCCCAAAGGGGAGCAGCATAGCATTTCCACAAGAAGCACTGATTTCAGAGAGTAGGAAGTCAGTGTTCTTGTGGAAATTCAAGTGACCAGTGTAGACAGCTGGCACGTTTTTCCACAAAAGCAGCTGCTTTTGCGGAAAAACTTGCCAGTCTAGACGCAGCCAGAGGGTTTTACAAAGGGCCACTCCACTTAGTACAACAGAACTGCATCTACTCACAGGGCTGCAGGCTGGGACCAGCGTAGCTGCGTACTCAGGCAGCCACCCAGGAGAGATTCAAAGGCCAAGCTCATTCACAGAACATCCCCACAGCCGGGAGCAGGTGTTGCTACTGGTGGTGCACAGCTGCACATGCCTCGGTGCAAATGACAAAATGTATTCTGCACATGGGTGGAAAAAAATCAGAGGGAACAGTAGCTGGGACCTTGCTGTTTTCTTTCCTTAGGCCAGGGGAGGGGAACGCGCACTCACTAAACAGGTGATAAGGAAGGGGGAGAGCATGATCCAACCCATAATATTCCAAGTCACCCAGTTAACGCCATGATGAACATTTTACCACAGGAGGCCGTTAGTGCAAACTCCTCTGCCGGTTGTATTTGCTCAGGGCATTGCCCCGGGTTCTCTCTCAGCTCCTGAAAAAAGTGCCCCCGTTGGGGTGGAGGGGAATAAGCCGGCAGTGGCATTGTGCCTCTCCTGGAGCTGCAGAGGGGCTAAACAAAGGGCCACTCCACTTAGTACAACAGAACTGCATCTACTCACAGGGCTGCAGGCTGGGACCAGCGTAGCTGCGTACTCAGGCAGCCACCCAGGAGAGATTCAAAGGCCAAGCTCATTCACAGAACATCCCCACAGCCGGGAGCAGGTGTTGCTACTGGTGGTGCACAGCTGCACATGCCTCGGTGCAAATGACAAAATGTATTCTGCACATGGGTGGAAAAAACCTTGCTGTTTTCTTTCCTTAGGCGAGGGGAGGGGAACGCTCACTCACTAAACAGGTGATAAGGAAGGGGGAGAGCCTGATCCAACCCATAATATTCCAAGTCACCCAGTTAACGCCATGATGAACATTTTACCACAGGAGGCCGTTAGTGCAAACTCCTCTGCCAGTTGCAATTGCTCAGGGCATTGCCCCAGGTTCTCTCTCAGCTCCTGAAAAAAGTGCCCCCGTTGGGGTGGAGGGGAATAAGCCGGCAGTGGCATTGTGCCTCTCCTGGAGCTGCAGAGGGGCTAAAGACAATGCGCCAGCCTGGCCATGGGGGCAGGGCCAGGGACGCCTGGGTCGAGTGGGCTTGGAAAAGCCGTGCCGCTTGGCCCCCGGGAGCATGCGGGGTTTGTGCAGAGGCGCGTCCCCTGAAAGTCGAGCGTGGGAGCTGGGGGTGGGGGCATGAACGTAGCAGAAGGAGAGCGCGGGCTGGAGTCTCATCAGGGACTCCTGGGTATATCCGAGGCAGCAAAAACGCACCTGATCGCGACCGGCAAAGAGAATAAACCCTTGGAATAACCAAGGCAGCTCTGTCTCGTCAAGTCCTGGGTCTGCGGCTGCACCGGGAAGCCGATCAGAGCAGGGGGGAAAGAAGTGAGCAAAATCCCTGCTCTGCGTACCAGTGGCCTAGTGCCGCAGTGCCAGCGACTGCACAGGAGAGCCGGGCTCGGGCAGCACCGGAGCCCCTGGCACCCAGGAAACCAGTCGCGGGTTCCCAGAGCACCACGCAGCGTGCACACTGCTGCAAGCCACGCCGGGAGCAGCTCCCGCTGCCAGCGGCGGGGGGGGGGGCCTTCCCCCCCACAGAGGGGCTGCCGTGTCTCCTGTGATCCCCGGGCACTTGGGAGCTGCATTGGGGCAGGCCCAGTGCAGGCAGGGTTTGAAGTAAAGCGGATCCCCTCGTCCTGTCTGGCTGCATCAGGGTGAGCAGCGCTCCCCTCCTTCCCTCCCGCTCTTCGGGGGAGCACTACCCCTCGCAGCACCCCTCCCCGCCCTCGACTGAGGACAGCTCCCTCGCTGACATCAACCTGCCCCCATGCCCAGCCAGGGAGCTGGCACAAGGAGCCTTCTGGCCCCTTCAAGACCCTGTTTGCAGCGCCCACAGGCATTGCAATAGGCGGCCCAAGGCACGTGAGCCAGCGACGTGCCCTTCCCTTCCCCGCCGCCAACTTTCCACAGTGGCTAGTGGCATCGGGCCTGCACAGGCAGGTTTTGATGGGTGGGGGAGGACACTGCCCCCAAAGCTGTCCCGGAGGAATCTGGGCTGAGGCCTCCCCCCCTTGCCCCAGTGCAGCCGTGTCAGAACTGGCCGGGGCTGGAAGCTATGGGGGGATTTTGGCTCTGAGAGGAGCCCTGGGGCGCTTCTCTCTCCAGGAGCCCAGACGGGCAGCGCCCTGCACGCCGCAGACCTGCAGGAGGGGCTGGCACACACCTGCCCTGGGAAGTGGAGCTCGGCCAGGGGCCTCCACACACTTCTCCACAGAGCTGCAGGAGGCCATCCCTGTGGCTGTTCTGTAAGATCCCTCCATGGGGTGGCACAGCAGGGATGCGTCAAGCACGGGACAGACATGCTCACGTCACCCTTACAGCCGGGGAGGCAGGGAGCTGTGGGCAGCCACCCGGCCGGGGCAGAGCAGAGAAGGGGTTAAGTCCCTGCCCTTCCTGCAATCTATGTCCTACAGCCTGGGGGTGTGGCCAGGTGGCCTTTGAGATACCTTGGAGCAACCAGAGTTAGCTGCTGGGTGTGATGGTCCCTGTCGAAGGTAATGCCACATTTACACACCTCTTCCCAGCCTTCTAAGCATGCCCGAGATGGAGCCATCTCTGGGCTGGGGATGGATTGATCTCATTGATTGAGGTTTAAATAATTATTGCAACAGCAGCTTCTGAAAAGGCCTCTGCATAAATGGGCCCTGTCAGGGGGTGCACACCCCCAGTGTGCCTCAGTGCCCCCTGACTGTCCTCATATAGCCCCTCTCAGGGCAAGTTACAGTCTGTATGGGTTGCTCATCATAGGCATTTGTCTCAACAGCTCAACTTACCTAGTCGGCCTCATGATCCACCCACAAGCCAGGGGCTTTATTTCCAGCCCCTAGCTAGAGGGAGTCTTGACTGGCCCTCCTCCAGCCTTTACTGGTCATCTCCTGCTGCCTCTCCAGTCAGCCCTCCACTGGCTCCCCCCTTTAGCAACCTGTGCTTCTCTATATATACTTGCCAGCTGGGCTCTCCCTAGCCCCAAACAGCTCCAGCTGGCCTCTTTCTTTCTAGCCCTGGCTCAGGGCCTGAGTCCTGGCCTTAAATCACTCATCTCTGCTACAACAGAACCGCAGCCACGGTCACACCGCTATTCCCAAAGGAACGCTTCCCTCCTGAACCCTCACCGTTCCAGCAGCCCCCTCCAGAAACCCAGCTGGACCCCAGGGGGAGCATGGAGCTCCCACATACCATGCAGCTCACGTCCCCAAGTTAGGGGTGGCATCAGGAGCTGGGGGGGTACATGGCAAACTCACTGTCCACAGCAGATCTCCAGATGGGCTTTGCGGTAAAAGCAAACAACCGGGCAATGCAGAGAATGAAGCAAGACTCCCGGCACAGCGGTGGGCAATCACAGAGCTGCTGTGGTTCCGTCGCCCCTCCCCGCCTCGCCCCCGCACATTCTAGGTACACAAGAGCAGAGAGCAGAACTGCCCTGTCCCGGGAGAGCGTCTTGGTTATGACAATCTTCCGGCCCCCTGAGAGGAAGGAGGGCCACTCGTGCGGCCACTCACTAGCCCAGGTTGCCCATGGCTTCCCTAGCATGAGTTTTCTCTCTGCAGGAGGACACTGATTGCATGGAATGCTGAAAAAAAGTACCCGCCTCTCGGGTAAGGGTGATCTGTGAGTGCCCTGGGGGATGGATGATACAGGTTGAACCTCTCTGGTGTGGCACTCGCTGGTCCGGCAACATCCGTGGTCCGGCATGATGTTAGTTAGCTGGATGTCTAC